GAGGGTGGAGGGTCATTTGAGTGATGGGTAGATGGACAAACATAGTTACTAAGCCGCCCGGCACGATGGATGGCTGCATCAGTCAGCCAAGTAATGGACCGGTGGATGAGTTACTAGCTGGCCGGTTTGGCCGAGCGAGTGGTTAGTGGACGGAGGGACGGACGTGCTAGGTCCCTACCGCGTGACAGACACAAACTCCCATCACCAAAACAGGCCTCTGGAGAAGGAATCATCAGCCTCACTCTACAACGAAATGGAGGCCCAGAGAGGGAGCGCGGCTCACCCAGGGTCCCACAGAGGCACAGAGAGCCCACGTAAGCAAGGTCCAGGGGCCCCCATACCTCATCGCCCCTCAGCCAGGTGGCGACCGGAGGGGGCTCCCCTGTGATGGCCACGTCCAGCCTCAGCTTGTTTCCAGCCACAACCACGATCGAGTTCTCGGAGGTCTTCCCTGAGCAGTCCAGGTGTATCTTCGGCGGCTCTGGGGGCAGCAGACACGGGGAGTGGAACAGGCAGCTGGGGTGTCCATTGCCGGCGGGGGGCTCCCTGATGCAGTTCCCGACCACAACACCCCACCCAGGTCCCGGCCCCCCTCAGACCCAGGGTCCAGGTTCCGGCCAGGTTCCAGCCTCTCCCTCAGACCCGGGGGTTCAGATTCCGGCCTCCCCCTCCGACCTGGGGTCCAGGTCCCAGCCCCCCTCAGACTGGGGTCCAGGCCCTGGCCGCCCCCTCAGATGGGCCCAGGCCCAGCTTACAGCAGCAGCCCTGGCACTACCTTGCTTAGGCACGTACTCCACCTTGATTTCTGGAAGACAGAGAGGTCCGGTGGTCAGGGGCACTCCAGGAGGCCCTTTCCCCTCACGCCCAGCAGAGGCGAGGCTGGGGTGGCCTCAGGCGTGGCTGTCCCTCGTCCCCACCCCCGAGTACTCGATGCTCCCTCCACCTCGTCTGAACCCCCCAGTGAGATGGACAGGTGCCCGCGGTCACCCCGAGGCCCTTAGGGAAAGCAGCCTGAAGGGGGTCTGGCCTGAGGCTGGGAGGTGGGGCCAAGGCCCCGGGGTACAGAGGGGTCTTCACCCAGGAAGTTGAGCTTGGCGGACAGGGACAGGGCATAGCCGTCGGGCACGAATGTGTAGTCGGCCTCATCCTCGGGACGCACGTCGTCAATCACCAGCTTGTGGATCCTGAGGGGAGGCGGGTCAGGCCGGGCGCTCCCGGGGCGGCCTCGAGGGGCGCCCTCTTCAGCCGCCACTTCATTTTTAAAGATTTATTTATTTGTGCATACAAGAGCTGGGGTACAGGCCAGAGGTGTGGAGGTGACAGAATTCACCAGAGACAGAGCGGGGAGCAGAACAGGCAGAAACCCACTGCTGGGGGGGCAGCGGGGAGACAGGAGAGGTCTGCTGTGCCCTGGGGGTCACCCCGGGGCAGGGATCGAACTCGTGCTGCAGGGGCTGTGGGCAGCTTCACAGTGCCGAGATTCAAGTCCTGCACCCCAGGGGGGCCCTCACCCGCCACTGGGCCCCAGTTTGGGAACGCTCTGGCCAAGCTTCCAGCCTCAGCTCTGCTAACTGCTTGCTGTGTGACTGCGGGCAAGTCACCTGCCCTCTCTGTGCCTGTTTCAGCTAGAGAATCAGAATAGCACCTGTCTGGACTCTGAAGACACAGAACAGGAGCAGAGAAAACCAAGCCAGAGCCTTGAGCTCTGAGGTCAGACCAGAGGCCACCTGTGGGGGGGTCGTCTCTGCAGCGGGGGGCCCTGGGTGCTTTGGTGTGGGACATGGATAAAATGGGAGCGACAGTGACAGTGTGCGCCGGGCGGTGCGGTCATCTGGAGAAGGCCCGGCACGTGGCGAGGCATTGATTCACTAGGACCCTGCAGCCGGTAGAAAGTGCCAGAAATGCTCCCGGCCCAGGCCATGGCAGCCGCGTACACGCCCGCTCTCTCAGGACCCTGCTTCTGCCGGGCGAGTGTGTCAGGCACGAGAGGGGGACGAGAGGTCACAGGGACCAGAACGGGGCCCTGATGGCGCCCAGGCCGGATGGGCAGGGCGGGTGGGCGGGCAGCTGACCACAGCCGCCCCAGAGCCGCCGCCCGGGCCGTCCTGTAACTGCACCTCAGGCTGGCGGGGTGCGGCTGCCTCTCCAGTTTCCCAGACTCCCGTCGGTAGGGGCGCCTGGCCCCGCAGCGTGGGTGCCCCGACCTACCTCCCCACGTGGGAGATGGTGATCCTCTTGCTGGGCCGCACCTCCACCCCGTTCTTGTACCACTTGCCGGTCACCTTCTCGTCAGACACCTCGCACTTGAACACGGCCTGGTCGGAGGCCTTCACCGTCAGGTCGGCGATGTCCTGGAGCACCTCCAGCGGCTTCTCTGCAGGAGACGGGAGGTCAGAGCCGGCCAGTCCCGCCTGCGAGTGCCCCCCAGGCCGGGCCCCGTCTCGGGCGGAGGCGGGCGGCAGCCGTGAACAACCCAGAAACAGCCTCTGGCCTCTGGGAGCTCACGGGCTAGTGGGGGGACACGCAGCAGGCCTTTCAGGGGGTGAGGCCTGGTGCGGGTAGGGGGGCCGGGGGGGCCCCCCCCACAGAGGCCCCAGGAGGCCCGCGGGACAGCAGGTGGGCGGGCCGAGGCCGGCTGCGATGTGCTCACCTTCCACAATGAGTTCAGCCTCGCACTGGCCGCCGTTGGTCATGACCTGGAAGCGACCCCCGTCCTCCAGGGACACGTCCGAGTAGATGAGAATGTGGCGCTTGCCATCCTTCTTGAAGCGGTATCGGGCCTTGTAGGAGTCCTCCCGGGTCATCTCCACCCCATCCTTCATCCTGGGGGGAGGGGCAGTGAGGGGGTCTCTGGCCCCTGTCTGGATGTCGGTGGGTTGGGGGTGGATGTCTGGATGTCAGGGCCGGGCAGTTGTGAGCAGGGGTGAGGGGAGGCCGCGGGGACCCATGGGTCACAGGGCGCGTCTAGCAAAGGGGGAGAGGAAGTCGCATGCCTCGGGGGGGTCCGTCAGAGGTCAGGGTCACCAGCGGCCACCGGAGGGTCAGAGGATGGAGGAAGCTCGGCGCTCACAGAGCAGCCAGATACTGAGGTGCGTCCCCCGCCTCAGACACTCCTCACACCCTCCTCAAAGCTCAGCTCTACGGTCACCTCCTCCAGGAAGCCTTCCCAGGCCACCAGAGTCCTATTAAAAAGTGGCCACAGCGTTAGCTACTGCCCGGCCGAAGTACTGACCAGAGCAGGATGTTTACCTGTATGTGACGTGACTACAGCCTGCCCGTGTCCTACGTGAGCCCCAGCAACGAACCACATTATAAGCTCCGCGAAGGAATGCCACGCTGGGACAGCTTCTCCCCAGGGCACCCACCACGCGGAGCACCCCCACAACAGGGGCCCGGAAGTAGTGCTGGGTGAGTGAATAGGTGCAGGGGTGAGCCGGGGGGTGGGTGGGTGGTGGATGGATCAATGATTTCATGGAGCTAAAATATCAGGGACCTGAAGAAAATCTAAGTTCTAGGAATTTGTAGAGAAATTATTATCTCTGAGACAAAAAGAAATGTTTTTGAAATTCTAGGAAGCGCTCCTGGAGGGAGGCGGGGGTTCACAGAGAAAGGCCCAGGTTCCTGGGGCCTGGGGGGAAGGTCAGAGCTCTCCCAGGCGGGGATCGAGAGCCCCTCACTTACCACATGACCTGGGCCCCCTCTTCTGACACCTCCACGACCATTTCTACGCGGTCGCCCACAAACACCTGCTGGTCCTCAAGGGGTTTGACAATCAAGACCGGAGGCTCTGGAGGGCGGTGGGGTGTGGGGCGAAGGTCAGCAGGGGCGGCAGCCCCCCTCCAGAGCCCCGTGGCCAGGCTCAGGTCAAGCGAGCCGTGGCCTCACCTTTGACAAAGAGCTCAGTGAAGCACTTCTCGTCCTTGACGGCCACCTCATAAGCAGAGTCGTCCGCCATCGTGCACTTGTTGATGGTGAGAATTCGCTTCTTGCCAACATTCTCAAACACGTACCTGTTGCACAAGTCTCAGCTCGACCCAGGGCGCGGCGGGCCCCGCGCGGGCCCCAGAACTACATTTCCCAGCCGCCTTTGCGGCTCCGCGCCAGGGCCGCCTGCACGCGTGTCGGGGCCGCTCCCCGCCACCCCGAGCAGCCCCCTCTCTCCGTCCCCGCCTTCCAACCTGACACACACACGCCCGAGGCCGGGCTCGGCGGTGCCCGTGGAGACAAAATACGGAGCCGGGGCCCCCCAGACTCGAGCGGGCCGCCCGGAGCCTGCCGCAGCTGCAAGGAGGAAGCCGCCGCCCTGGCGCCCGCCAGCACCCTGAAGTGTCCCCGGGGCTCTCAGGCGCCCTGCCCTGGCCGCCCCCTGCCCCCAGCAGCGCCCCTGTGCCGTGGCCTCTTTCCCAAGGTCCGCCCAGCTGGGGAGCAGCGACCACTGGATCAGTTGCTGCCTCATCACAGGTCACCGCGGACCCCGGGCCACACAGAGGTTGGGGTGCCGAGTGCCCCACATAGTCGAAGACCCACGACTGCCCCCAAACTGAATTACCAAGCCTGCTGCTGGTAGAAGTATCAGGGCCACCCCCGTGGAAAACTTCCTCCCCTGCCAGCGCCGGGGTGCACACCACAGGCCGGCGGAGGGAAGGACGCAGCCGGCCCAGCCCGGCCGGACTGAGAGACGCAGACGCTCACGTGGCCCCGTGGCCTCAGAGGACACAAACACGTGGGCGCAGACGCTCACGTGGCCCCGTGGCCTCAGAGGACACAAACACGTGGGTGTGCACCGGTGAGGCTCACCCAGCCTCAAAGCGGAACAGCCACGTGACAGACATTCTTACTTGCTGCTGGGCTTGATCTCCTGGCCGTTCTTGTACCACTTGAGCGGAAGGTCCGGGTCACTGATCTCCACCACCAGCTTGACCTTGTTGCCTCTGTCCACTTGGTAAGCGGGGTCCAGCTTCTTTGTGAAGGCTAGACAGTGAGGGGTGCAGGGGGTGAAAAGACAGCTTCTGCCTGCCTCGTTCCTCCCCACACCCACCAGGTCTCTCCCCAGATTCTCCAGGGTCAAGGCCAGGAAGCCCCCATGGAGGTGGCGGTCCCTGAAAACAGGGCTGTGTTACTGCGCAGATTGGGGGTTCCGCAAGCTAGGGCCAGGGCGCAGACAGCAGGTGCCCCACCCCTCGGGAGCTGACCTGCACTCTTCTTGACCTCGACCTTGGCCTTCTTGAGCCGCTTGAGCATGCCCCGGAGGTCGGTGATGCCGTACTGGAAGGCGATCTTCTCATACTCGCTCTTCTTGGCTCCTTTTAGGAGTTCCCAGATCTCGGGCGGGATGCCTAAGTCGTCTTCATCCTTTTTCTTCTTTTTCTCCTCCTCAACCACCTCCCTGAGGGCAAGGAGAGCGAGCCAGGGTCCCCGCAGTCATCCTTTCAGTAGTCACCTCTCTGGTCTGGGCCATCTCTGTTCTCCCCTGCCTGGACCATCTCTATTCTCCCCTGCCTGAACCATCTCCCCGTCCTCCTCCATGGTCTCCGGTGTCTTCGCTCCCAACTCGTCCCCCCACATGGCCCCAGAGGGGTAGTTCTGACACCCACATTAGCTGCCATCCTTTTCCTGCTCAAAACTTCCATGCTCCTTCTGACCCTTGGGAAGCCCGAGGTGTGATCAGCCCAGCGCGCCCAGCTTCCATCACACCCCTGCAACCATCTAAACCATGCTGCTTGCCTCTCCCTGAACTCTCTGGGCTCTCTGCCTCCTCCCAGACTCTGCAAGGAGTGTCTCTCTGCCTGGACGCCCCGTCCACGCCTGCTTCCTGCTGGACCCCGCCCCACATCACAAGCCCTCTGCCAAGCCCCTTCTGCGGGGCACCCCTGTCCTCCCACACGAGATGCTCTCACGCGGGGCTCTCGCAGCCTGTGGGCCCCTCTCTGGCCCACAGGCCTGGTCTGTGTCCACATCTGCTGGAACAGACCCATGTCTCCAAGACAGTGGCCAGTCAGCATCTCTCTGTCCCCCCGATCCCAGCCCAGGGCCTTGGATGTTGGACAGGTGAGAGTGAGGAGACTCGAAAAGTAGGAAAGGGGTGGGGAGCAAGGGCGGATAGGTCAGTGGGTGAACTGGGGACGTCTGAACTGGACAGACGAGGTGGGGGGCTGGGCATGGGTGGGCAGGGCGCGATGGCTGACGGTCAGACGCCCGGTGAGTGGTTGGTGAAAATGTGGCCGCGGGGTGACCGGTGGGCGCTGCTGGTTGCGTGGTGAATCTATAACAAGCGGCGTTGTGGTTTGGCTGTGGGGTGGGGTGAAGAGAGGGGCCCAGACAGTAAGCAAGGGGTGGACAGAGGTGGGGGACAGCCACCGCGGGGGGCTAGGGATGCCACGCCGGTCCCGTCAGCGCAGGTCGGCAGGTCTGCGCCGATCATTGCGCGGCTGAAAGCGGATCGTCCCATCGGGCGCGCAGGCGTGTGCAGGGGCGACCGAAGAGGGGACACCTGCTGGGGGAGGCTGCGGCGCAGATGGGTGGGGTGGGGGGCAAGGGGGTGATGGTGGG